GTAAAAAAGACAAAAAGGAAAAAAAAAATCCCTAAACTCAAAAAGTTCTAGATTTATTGATTTTATTGTTCCTATCAGTTTCACTTATTTTTCTTTGTTATTGCAATATCAATGCATTTTATTACAGAAAAATTGGAAAATGTAAGAAAAGAAAAATAAGAATATAACACAATGCATTGTCAACCATTCTAACATTTGTAAGTTCCTTAGTGAGTATCTATCTAAATCTTTTTCTATTCACATAAATGTTTTCAATCAAAATTTGGGTATATGCACCTTTATTTAAGCTGCTTTCATTTATTTACCAATAAGAAATGTTTAAAAAATAACTTCCCTTTCTTCAATGTAACATTTCACTATTTAGCATCTCAAAATAAGGACTGAATTTGCTAACAATTAATTATAAATTAAAAAACTAAATATTAATACAATGTAAAAATATATTACATAGCTATAAATAAATATAAACACAAGTAAATTGGTATAAAATAGATAAGAATGCTTAAAGATTCCTTAAAGCTTGCAAAACTACCTCTGATACCCCAAAATTACGAATTTGTGAAAATTCAAGGATTCAAATATACCTGAAAAATGAAATATAATTTTTGATTATACCTTTGTTGTTTTTAAAGGATTAAGGTAATACATAGTGATTAAACTTTCATATAATATGAAAATATATTCCAAAGACAACCCTTTTAGACTTCAAATTCTTCTAGTCATTACTGTTTTTTAATCAAAATCCATATAGAAATTATTTAAATGAAATGTATGACCTTTTTATGTCAGGAAGAATAGATTCACATCATTCTTTTTTAAAGCCTGGAGAGAATCTATTATACACCGTGTGTCCACATGTTACTCCCAGCATCTAGCCTCACCTATCTGCTGTACGGCCAAGGCGGATCAAACAAAGCAAAATTTAGTTAAATATCCTTTTATCGATGGACGTTTAAGATGTTATTTTTATTTATTTATTAGCTAATCTAGGTATATATATATGTGTGTGTGTGTGCTGTGTATATGTATCCTTATACGCATTTATATTCATGTACTTGTGAAATTATCTCAGTAGCATTTATTCCTACTGGTAGAATTTCTAGGTCAAAAGCTATGCATCTAGTGAGCGGGAACCGGTCTGTATGTGGGATCCGAACCCTCGGGCGGGAGCGCCACTGTGCTTCCCAAGCGGCACACTTATCCAGTGCGCCACCGGGCCGGCCCCTAAGATGTTATTTTTTTTGATTGGTCAACTAATCTAGGTATATATATATGTGTGTGTGTGTGCTGTGTATATGTATCCTTATACGCATTNCTAATCTAGGTATATATATATGTGTGTGTGTGTGCTGTGTATATGTATCCTTATACGCATTTATATTCATGTACTTGTGAAATTATCTCAGTAGCATTTATTCCTACTGGTAGAATTTCTAGGTCAAAAGCTATGCATCTTAATATGTTGTTAAATATTCTTACTTGTCTTTAATAAAGGTTGTAATAATTTATTCTAAATAGTGCGTTAGATTGCCAGTTTGTTCAAAGCCTTGCCAACCCTGTGTATTCTATTACCTGGATGGCCAAAATAGAATATGAAAAAAGTACTAACTTGCTGTTGCTAAGTGGACTATCCAACCCTACCTCAAAGTACAACACTTCAAACTTCCTAATTTTAAATTGTTTAATTGTACTGGGTTCCCGTAGATTTGATGGATTATTGAGGAAAAATCCCCAAAGTACTATAAAAGTGCCATCACTATATGTTGGTTTAAGAATATACTATATAAGGTTAGAAATTTATGAGTTTTAAATTTGCTATGGATACTATAAAGTGCCAGTTTTCAACAGACTGTAGTGTTTTGAGTTTGTCTATTGATATCAGTTGTATTCGCATGCAATGTCAGTCATACAGGCTTGTCTTCAAATTGGGGATACATTGGGTCACTGCTTCTGTTTCATGAGTTCTTATGTCATTAAATGTGATTACAGAGCAAGAAGGCAGTGTTGAAGTTCAGGACCTACATGGAAAATTCAAAGAGAATGAATCCGTATCAACTTCCGAACATTAACAGTTACATGATGCCTATTCCTCCTCCACCTCCTCTGCCAAATGGAAAAATCACAAGGGAAAGTAGATCTGAAACATGGAGAAGATTTCGTCCAACCACTGCTCCAAATGGCTTAGAACCTCTCTTTACCAGGGTAATTATGGAATAAAATTGCCTTTTATTAATTTAACACAGATTACATTGCACTATTATATTTCTAGATCTGCAGTGAAAGAATCTGGAGAAATCACGTGCAAAATGCCTTGCATAAAGAAATGCAATAATTTTATAAGTGTAATTATAAGCTTGAATGAATCTGAAACCAAAGATTTGAGTAGTTCAGTTGAGTAACTTAGCACAACTGATAATAAAATATTCAGTACAATTTGTTGTCAGGTTTAGTTTGAACGACACCCATTTCCAAATTATTCCTTTAATTTGCTCATCCAATCTTATGTTGTCAGAAGTATCTTAATATTTAATTTGTAAAAGTTCAGGGACTTAAAATACATGAAAAAACAATATACCTTATTAAAGTTTATTTTTAATGACTTATGGCAAATTACTGTATAATACATAGAAACATTTTTCTCAGTGTTCTTTGAAAATATTCTAGTTTGTTGCAGTTATTTCCTCAAATACTGGTAAAGAAAATAGTTCAAAGATACAG